TCTACAATAAAAAATACAAATAATTTTTTCTATCAAAACAAACCCACAGTTAGTGTCTTTGAAAAAAAGGAAAACTGTGTGAATTTGAAATATTTGTTAAATTATTATGTGTCTGTATTATAGATGAATATATTGTAATTTCTTGTTTAGACATTAAAAAGGAATTAAATATCATTTAGAACTTAAAGTAAAATGTGAAATAACAGATAGATTAAGTCCAGAAGAATTAAAAGAAGATAAAAAGACTTGGAAAAGGATTATTTGGCATTATCTTTTTAGGAAAAAAAATAGAAGAAATAAATTGATAATAAAGAAAATGAAATAAGTGGATCCTTATTTGAATAGAAAAATGAAAGAATTTAAAAAAGAAATATATATAAGATAAATGTATAAACAAATGTGTTGTTCATTTTTTATGGTGAGGAGGTATTTCAAAAAAGGGATATGTATGGTAGAAGTTGCTGAATATAATTTATAACAAGATTTTATTAACAAAAGAAAAATTAGTCTTATTGAATTTAAGAAAAAGATTAAATTAGTATTGAACGTTGCTAAAGGATTAAATTGACTTCACTCAAGTAGTATATTACATCATAATATTAACCCTGATGATACTCTTGTATTTTTCTTCGACAATAATAATAAAATTAGTGGTAAATTACCTGATTTTGGAAGTGCAAGAAACATGGATGTATTAGTAACAATTATGATATTCACTAAAGACTTTAAAACTCCTGCTAATATGACTCCTGAAACTCTTAATAAAAAGCATTATAAAACACCACCCGTTATCCATTCATTTATAATACCAATATTTGAAACAATTAAAATATGACCAACCATAGTCAAAAGAACTTTATAAATTCCCTTAGGTTATTTGTTGATGTTGTACTAGAAAGAAGTTATACAAACATTTTTTCGTATGAACCAAGTCTTAAACGTCTCATTGAAATGTGTTGGAAGCAAGAACTTAAAGAGCGATTTGTTTCATTTTAAATAGTAACTGAATTGCCGAACCACCTACACGTATTAGACTTAATGATATTTATAATATTCCTTCAAGTGAAAAGTTCAATGATAACTAACATAAACCCAAAAAAATTCATAAGAAGAAAAGAGAATTATACTTATTAGTTAAAACTTGTTAATATTTTTGTGATTGAAAATTCTTTTCATTAAGAAATAACAATTTAATTTTAAACAGAAATCAAAAAGAACTTAAATTAAATAATAATATATTCATTTGACTTATGCATAACACTTCTAAGACTAATATTTTTATTTTTTATCTTTTGGTTGGGTATTGTTTTTCATCAGAAATTAAAATATTACAAATATCAGACATCCATTATAATAATGCATTCAATATCGATTATCCAAATCAATGGTGCCAATCAAGTGACTTAACTCCTAAAACTGATTTGAGTCATAGATATGGTATTATTAATTGTAATCCCCCTATTGATCTTATTGATGCTGTTTTTGAACATTCATCAAAACAAGCAAAATATTCGGCAATAGTATTATCAGGAGATATTTGCTCTCATGAATTAACAGACTCACTTTATCGTCAATGTAATGAAGTATTAGTTAAGAAATTGAAACAATATTTTGGTACTACTCCAATTATTTTTGCAATGGGAAATAATGACACACCAACTCCAAAAAATATAACATGCTCTGATCAATATTATGAATTTTTATATAACAAATTTGTTGATTATATTCCAACAAATCAAAAAGAACAATACCTTCGTAATGCATGTTATAGTCAAACTGTTGATGGTCAATTATATATTGTTATTAACACTAATTTATTAAATCCATTCCAGCACAATGACTGTGGTGTTTTAGATTGGTTAGAAAATCAACTTTCTATTGCTAAAGCATCATCACTTCATCCAATTATTGTTGGTCATATTCCACCAGGAGTTTCTTCTTATGACCTTAAAGCACAACTCAAAGAAGAATATCAAAATCGTTTATTTACAATAATTAAGAAATATAAATCAACTATAAATTCATTATTACTTGGGCATATTCACCGTGATGAGTTTAGATTACTTCCATCAGAAGATCCAGTTGTTATGTTAGTTGCTATTGGAATTAGTCCTGTTTATACTAATAACCCTGGATATAAAATCTTTTCAACAACACCAAATAGAGCAGAAGGGTATATTGACTCAATTCAATACACTATGAACCTTAATGAATCAAATAATCAAAAATTCCCAGTATGGTTTGAACCTTATTCTTTTATTTCAGAATACCAAGTAAAAGATATTTCTATTTCATCATTACAACAAGTTAAATCTTTAATCTTTAATGATGTCATGAAAGGGTCATTGTACCGATGGAGAACTGTTGGATTATATGATCGTAATGAAGTCCAAATTAAATGTGCTATAACAGCTACTTCAAAAGAAGAAATGTTACAATGCACTAAATCACCAACTTGTGTTGGTTTAAAATATTAACAAATAAACATAAAATAAAAAGTTAATTTAAAGGTTAAGTTTTCTCCTTTTGTTTTAGTAATTTTGATAAATTAATTCAAAGAAAACATATTTTGAATAATAGTTAGATATTTCAAGGAAATCTCTGGACGTTTTAATTTTAATGCAGCAGTTAATAATTCATTTTCTGCAGTCCATTCTTCTTTAACAAAAGAAAAGTGTTTAACTTTTTGTCTTTCTGTTAATCCTTCTTCATTCTCTTTTAATAATAACTTTGCTTTATTTAACACTTCTTTGTCTTCAATAGCTTCTTCAAATGGTTTACCCCCACTTAACTCAGCAATAACAGCTTTATTAGGAACAATTAAAGCAACAACAAAGTCATGAAAAGAATCTGCAAAAACACAAATATTGTCAACTAACTTATTACTACTATATTTTGATTCAATCAATTCTAATGAAATATATTCTCCACATGGTTGTTTAACAATATTTTTCTTTCTATCAATAATACAAATATGTAAATCATCAGTTATTTTTGCAATATCACCTGTACAGAACCATCCATCTTCAGTAAATGCCTCTTTATTTTCTTCTGGTCTATTGAAATATCCTTTTGTTACAGGAAGTCCTCTAAACATTAATTCACCATGAGGAGGATGATCTGAAGTCATATGTCCAAGTTCTGGAACATCTCTTAATTTAACTTCATACATTGGAAGAACAACACCAATTGATGCAACTGTTGGATCTCTATGTGGCATTGCACATGCAGCACCACAAAGTTCAGTCATACCAAATCCTTGCATAACAGAAACATCAGGTAAAATTGCTTGAAGGAAATATTGTAATTCAACAGGAAGAGCAGAGCCACCAATAACAATTGCTTTTATATTAGTACCAAGAAGAGAACGACATAATGGTTTAAAAATCATAGCATCAACTAATTTAACTAATGGCATAAAAAGATATGGTGTTCTTAAAGCATAGTCAACATAACATTTTCTTTTAATCCAATAACCAGCACCAAATAATATTTTCTTAAATTTAGGTTGCTTTTCAACAGTTTCTAATATTCCTTTACGAACTCTATTAAATACAGTTGGAACTCCAATCATAGCCTCAGGATTAAATTCAACTAAATCTGAGTTACAATTAAAACATCCTCCGGAAGTTAATGTTCTAATTCCAGCATATCCAATAGTACCAAAGTCCATTAATAATGCAAACTCAATTCCAATTTCAAATATATGTGCTAATGGTAAATATGCAATAAATCGTTCTCTATTAAATTCTAATACATATTTATATCCACATGATAACATTAATATTTGTTTTTGATTTACTAAAACTCCTTTAGGACTTGAAGAAGTACCTGATGTATACATAATAATTGCAAGATCATCTGCATGTACTTCTGGATATTCTGTTGATTCTTCAGATAATAAAAAGTGTTTAAAGCTTAGTTCATCACTTTCTTCTCCATCAACATTAATTACTTTAATTGATTCTTTAAGATGAATTTTTGGTAATCTTTTTGCTGTATCTTCTGATACAACAATTGCTTTAATATCAGTTTCTTCTAATGCAATTTTAACTGATTCATCTCCTAATGTAGCATAAACAGTAACTATAACAATTCCTTGACGAGTAGCAGCAAGTAAGAAAGCCATCCATTCATATCTTGTTTCACAAAAAATACCAATTTTATCTCCTGGTTTATATCCAGCTAATCTAATTCCATTTGATAATTTATTAATCATATGATAATATTCAAAAGAAGAAAACCAGTGATAATGTGACATTTGATACTTAAACAATGTTTTTTCTACTTCTTTACCATTGACAACAACTGTCATTGTTTTAAATGGTACGACTTTTTCACATGTTCTATAACCAACATATTCTTTTTTATTTTCTTTTGTCATTCCCATAACTAAATCATTAATAGTATTATACCCTGGAATATTGTAGTCAATTGGTTTATCTTCAGCTTTATAACCTCTTAATATTCTAGTTTCTCCTGGTTTAGCTTCTCCAACCCATCTTCCATTAAATTCTTGTGGATAAGTTTTGGGTCTTAAATAATACAATATAACAGAAGTGACTACTAAAATAACAACTGTTGTGATAAAATCCATTTTATTTTATTTTTTTTAGTTTATTACCTTTTATTTTTGATAACCCTCATAATCTTTTCTTTTTTTATCATTTCTTTTTGTCTGTTTATGTCTGATATTATCTTTTTTTATGTTTTTCTTTTATTTCAATATTATTTATTTACTATTTGTTTCTCTTCTTAAATGAACTGTTGGTTATCTCTTCTTTGACTGTTGGTTATCTCTTCTTTGTTTGGTTTTTTTTTTTTTTCTTTATATTATTAAATATAACTTTTTTATTATTAAATATAATGTTAACACTTTGTATTGGTAAAAATATGCTATTTTCTTTACTTGTCTTTGTTAAAAATAGAATAATGATTTGAAAAATTTGATGAATGATGAATTGTCTATTTAGCTCCACATCATTCACGGTAATTTTTTTAAGATTAAAAATATATTTAAAAGTTCTTCTTAAATATCGTTATATAAAACAAAAATAAATTTATTCATTTAAGTTTAGAAAGAGCATAAGCACATTCAATCAAATGAGTCATCATATGATTAACATCAACAACAAGTGGTAATCGAGATGCTAAAATATATGTCTCTTGTGAAAATTTTTTAATTTTACCAACACATTTAATATATTGACCGACCCTAATTAATTAATTAATTAAACACTCTTTTTTTTATTCACCATCAACAGTCATTAAACAAACTCAATATTTTCTTCTGTTGAATCTATTTGATATACCCCAACAACAACACTTCCTGTTGAATCATTAATTGTATATCTTTTAACATCATTTTGTATATCAATATTTGTTATTCTACCACAAACAACAACAGTATTTAATACAACTTGTTTATATGTAAATTGTTTTTTGTTATTAGATTCAGTATGAATAAAACTTAATGCAGTTAAAGGAAATACAACACTTTTATTTTCTGTATTTTTTCTTGGTGAACTTTGTGTAAATCCACCAGTTGTTTCAGTATCAAAATTAGCATATGCCATTAACTTTTTATCTTCTCATTTTTTGAGATTTTTTCTTTTTATTATTTTTTATTTTTAAAGGGTTTTTTTTTAATATTTTATTTTTAAATAAAAAACTCAAATAGAAATATAATGGGATATACAACAAAAATAACTAAAGTAATAGATGAATTAAAATAATTAACAATGAGTTTAAAACATTGTGGGGAATCTATCACAATAACATTTTAATTGTTCACGTACAAATTCTTCTGTAACAGTCATTAACCCAGGTTCTAAAGTAGAACATCCATGTTTCTTTTGCATATCACCTTCACTTAAATGTGCTTTTAAATTGTTTTGAGTAATTTCAGTAAATGGTAAATCAAAATGTTCATGAATTTTCTTAATCATTCCAAATGGATCTTTAGTAAATTCTTTAAATGAAACATCATAAAATTGATGTGCTCTTTCTGGTTTTTCTTCAACCCAACTATCTCTAGCAGCAATAGCATTTTTTAAACATAATTGTGTCATATAAACAACTGTTTGGTTTAACCATTCTTTATCATTCATTCCAACATCTGTTGGACACATTAATTGTGTTTGTTTATATAAATGTAAACAACTCTTAAAATTACTAAAAGGATCTCTATGAATCCAGACAAACCTTCCATCAGGGAAGGTTTGTAAAAGATTTTTCATAAATGCAATATGTTGGACATTCTTTAAACATAAATATTCATCATCTTTAACATTATTTTCAACCATATCAATTTTAAATATATCTCTTAAAATATCATATACATATTGCCAATCTCTTTTAAATATTTGTTTACGATATTCTTCATACCTTGGAATAGCACATGCTTGTGCAAAAGAACATCCTAACATTTCCATTGGGAAATAATCTTCTTCAGGTTCATCTACTTTAAATCCATGAGTTGTATCTAAATCATCAGCGTTTCCATTCATCCAAGATATAATCATTTCACAAAATTTTTTTCTTCCTTGTAATGACATTGTTTTTGTTCCTGGGAAAAATTGTTGAAATAAAGCAATTGTTCTTGCTTTTTCTCCACATGCTAATAAATGATGAAGAAATGTTGTTCCACTTCTAGGAAGTCCAATAACAAATAATGGTTTTTTAATTTCCATTGTTTGAATTTCTGGTGTTAATTCAATTTCTTTAATCATTCTTACACATGCCATTAATTTCATTGCAAATTGTCCACAAAATGGTAAAGAGACTTGATATGATACTAACAATGGATTAATCCCTGCAAACATTGGAATAAACCCTGTTTGAATTGGTGAACCTTTTTCAAAATATTTCTTTGTTTCTTCAATATATTTAGAATACTCTTCTTTTCTACTTGGATCAAGATATTTTAACATTAATATTCCTGTTTTCATAAAAATATTCCATTGAACTGAAAATGATAAATCACTTAATAACTCAGCTCCATAAGGAGATGGATAAGTTGGTTCATATAAAGCAACATTTTCAAATCCTTCAGCCATGAATGAATGAATTTATTCTTTTTTAAGTTCTTATGAAACCTGATTTTTTGTGATTTCTTTTTGATTATTACTTATTTACTCTTCTTATTTATTTATTCTCGTATTAATTGGTCATCTCTTCATTTTCTATTTAATTTCTTCTTTTTATTATATTTTATTATTATTATTTCTTTCTTTTTTACTTCTTTAATATATTTTTCTATAAAAAGGGTTTTTCCTTAATTTTTTTTTTAAATTCGTCTTATGTTCTTTTTTTTATTTAAACTATATCTTTATTATTTTTTTATTATTTTATATCATTTTGTTGTATTTTCCTTTATGTTTGCAAATCTCATTTTTATAAAAAGAATTAATGAATTTTTCACTTGAAATTCCTTCAATGTTACTTCATTTTTGCTAATTTTTTTTTTAAATTATGAAAATGAGGAATGTTCATTTAAATTAAAAACAAACTTATTATTCTTCATTTAATTAATTTTTTTTTTATGATATTTTTATAATAAGAATTTATATTTTGTTTTTCTTTTTGTTATTGAATCTCAAAAAAAAAAATGATAAAATAAAGAAAAGTGTCTTTTAATAATTTTTATCTTATCCTCATAAAAAAAGATAATAAAATATAAATTGTTGAAAAATACTTTAAATTAAAGTCTTTTTAAACAAAACCAGGTGGTGGTGTTTGGTTTTGTTGTGAGGTGTTTTGATTCAAACTTTCATTTTGTGCTTCTTCATTTATTAGTCTTTGTAATTCTTCAACTGACATTCCCATCATTTGAGCAACCATCCCAATCATTGGTCTCATCGATGGATTATTTAATAATGAACGAGCCATTGAAGACATTCCATTTTGACCTCCAAACATTCCCATCAATGAACTAATGTCAATAGTTCCAGGATTTGTTCCTTGGCTTCCTTGAGTAGAACCAACTAAATTACTAAATATATTAGCGAAAGGATTTGGTTCTTCATGTCTAGTATTTTGTGAGTGTTCTTGTTCATTTGAATGAGTTTCATGAGAATCTTTTTTTTCTTCCGTATTTTTAGGTATATTGTCTTCTTTAGGTTGTTGTTCTTTTTGTTCTTGTTGTTGGTTAGAAGAAGAAACTGGAGGTTGTTGGTTTTGAATAAGACATTTAATTTGTTCAAGATTACTTTTAAAAACAACATTATTTGGGTCAATAATAAGAGCATCTTCTATTGCTTTTTGTGCTTCAGTGTATTTATGTTTTTTTGTTAAGGCAATAGCTAAACGAGCATATGCCTTAGCATAATTTGGATCTAATTCAATTGCCTTTTTTGCGTCTTCAATTGCTAAATCATTTTCTTCAATTGAAGAATAAGCAGCAGAACGATTAGAATAATAAACTGCTTCTTGATTTAATTGTATTGCTTTTGTGTATTCATCTATTGCTTTGGAATAGTCTTTAGCATTTAGATATTCATTTCCTTTTAATTTATGTTCATCAGCCTTCTTTTGAATATCCATATTTTGTTCATTTGGTTTCATTCCAACAAAATGACATTTTTTACTGTAATGAGTATCAAAATATTGTTGAGCCGTTTTCATTTTAATTTCTCTTTGTGACTGAGTACAGTCATTAAAAAATCCTTTTTTTTCTAAGTTAGTTATAAATTTTTGGTATAAAGGATTTGTAGTTGACATTTACTTATTTTGTTGATTTTTTTTTATATTTAAATGTATTAATTAAATATAATTTATAATAAACTATATTATTGTTTTATATTTTTTTTTTCTTTGAAGTTTGTTTTATTAACTTTAAAATAAGATTGTATCTTCTTTTTCATATGCAAAGAAAAACAAAGTTTCAAACAAGAAATGTACGTGTCCACGGATCATTATCACAACAATCCATTTTAATGGAAACATATAATGACATTACTAAAGTTCCACCAAAAAAAGAAACATTACAAGAAATTTTTAATGGAGAAAAAGTAAAGTTTATTATTTCTGATAATTCTTCAAATCAGTTAATGAGATTAATTTGTTTTGATGGAGACGTTTTGATTCCGATGGAGATTGTTAATGAAATATTTCGATCTGAAAGGATATATGAAAAAAATCCATTTTTAAAGGTAGAAAAGAAAGTTGTTGTTATGTTAATTCAAGCAGTATTATTTAATAGAAAATATAATTTTAATGAGATGAAAACAAGTGAAATAATTCAATTTATTTCATCATTACCATTTGTTAAAATTATAAGAGAAAAAAATTTAATTAGTTCATTGGTTAGTTGTATTGAACAAAAACAATTATATTTTGAAGAAGAAATTGAAATGCATATGGTAAAAGGATTAATAGAAATGAATGATATTGATAAAATTAGAATAGTTGCTAAGTCATTTAAAACACCAACAGCAATAAAAAAGATATATTCATTTTTATATACACTTAATCAAATTAATATTCCATCAATTTCTAATGAACATTTATTTCTTATTGGACAAATGGCAATTGAAAAAAAAGATATGAAAATGTTTAGAGGATTTATAAAAGAACAAAATGAAAGAAAAATTTCTAGCTCAGGAATTTTTTTATGGAAAATGTGGAATATAAATGAAAATTCAATTCAACAAGGACTTTTTGATTTATTTATTCAAACACTTCAAACATTTAAAAATGAAGAAAATGATATGTACTTTTTAATTACTATTGAAGAAGTAATTTTACATGAGGAATATTTACCTTATTTATATTCAATTATTAATCAAGTAATTCTTATATTAGATACTCGTTGTACAATAACAAATTTATATCATTGCATTAAAATTATTTCTCATTTTAGTGGTACTGAAAAATCAAATGATTTAATCATTAAAAACCATTGGTATGAATTAATAATAAAAAGAATTACTGGAAAATTAGAATTAGCACCAATTGCTCTTCCATTATTAATTAATATTCTTTCTTCATTTCATTGTTGCCAAAATCAACAATTAGATTTAAATTCATTTTATAGTTCACGTCAAACTTATCAATTATCAAATTTACAATCTCAATCTCAATGTTTAATAAATAATTCACATATAGAAGAAGTTTTGTTATGTTATTTAACACAATCAAAAGATAACCCTTCAATGATATTATCTATTCTTCAAGCTTTTGATATGGTTTTTCATCATAAAGCAGTGGATATTTCATTTTCAAATTTTATTTTACCAGCATTAATTTCATTGTGTGATGTTTTTGAAAATGAAACATTAATAATTAATCGTTCATTAAATCTGTTTTTCCAAGTTGAATTAAATCTTCAATCATCAATTAGTGAAACATTATTACTTCATTTAAAAGATATTGCAATAAAATATATAGATCAAGGAGATATTATTGAAATTATTTCTCGTATATTATTTATTTGTGTCACACAAGATAGTCATATAGCAACAAATAATAATAATATTATTTCATTAATTACAACAATTTTAAAAACTTATACAAATTCTCCACAAATTATTATGTCAACAATTAAAACTATTTCATTTTTATGTAGTAGAAATATGTCTAGTAATTATTTTCAACAAGAAGGTACTTCACTTGATGTTTCTATTGCATTAAAAATGGCATTAGATGATTTTGATAAATATAAAGATCAAATATTCTTTGAAAATTTTGTTGAAGAATGTAGTTTTATTCTTGGATTAACAGCTTCTGTATGTGAAGATATAGATACTTTAGAAAATTGGTTAGCCTTAGTAAAAGATGTTAGTTCATATTTTCCTAATTCTATTAAAGCAAAAGAAAGTGGTAATGTTATTTCAGTTGAAATTAATGAAAGGTTACCTTCAAATATGACAAGGAATGAAAGGAAGAATTCACAATTGATTCATTCATTATTAAAACAATCAGGTAACAAGTCTTCTGTTCAAATTTTTAAAATTATTAACGAGAATGTTCAACTTTTAAATGAAGAAATAACTAAATTAGTATCAATATGTAATGATTTTATTTCATCTAAAACACTTCATAAAACAATTTGTTTAATTGCTCTTATTAATGCATTAAAACAAACAGATATTGCTCAAAACTTAGCTTTAGAATTAACTAAAACTAAATTTCTTGACCGTGCAAATAAAAATGAAGGTTCATCAAGATATAAAATACATCTTTATATTCTTCAATTAATAATTCAATCATATTCCAATTCTCTTTGTATAGAACAAGAATTATTTGTCTTATATGATTTATTTAAATCGGATAGAACTATTGAAGAATTATTAAATAAATCAAAGAACCTTACTTCATTTTATTCAAGTCTTCAAACAATTAAATCTCAAGAATCTATTAACTCATTTTTAATGTTATTACCATTCCAATCTTTTTCTAATAAAAGTCTTATTGATACATATTTATCATATTATATTAAATTATTAAATGTAAGTATTGAAAGAGTTTTTTCATCAGAAAAAATAAATGAAGATCTTATCTTATCATTTTTATTATGTGGAATAATTTTAGCACCTGCTTATGTCTTAATTTATCAAAACCTTATTATTCATCTTACTACATTAATCATTGGTCGTTTACAACAAAAACAAGTAGTTCAAGAAGACATATTCTTAGTTTTATCACTTCTTTCTCTTTCTTCTTCTTCATATGTAAAACAATCATTTAAATCTCATAAAGACCTTGAATGTTTATACAATTTCTTCGATGGTTGTCATGATTTAAGGTCTGTTGAAATAGCAAAAAAATTAATTGAGAAATTTTCATCTTAGAATTTTTTTTAGTTTTCCTGATTTAGATATTTTGAATAGTAAATTTAGGATTAACTATTTTTAATTCATGTCAAAATTCCTTTATAATTACCAATCATAACAATATATCTGAGTATTTTGTAACCATAAATTATCTTATTATTCTTCTGTTATACATATTTATAGAAATTATTATCTAAAAATACAATATTCTAAAGAGTTCTTTTTTCACGTTAATGACGACAAACTTTTAGTAAAAATAGAAAACAAAAAGTTAATCAAATATTTTAACCCTTAAATCTTTAAAAAGTTAAAAAATGAGTATATTCGTTGAAGATACTATTCAATCACTTACCCTTTTCAGAAGAATTAAAACTATAATAAAAGAATTTGATTTTGATGAAGGGATAGATTTTGTTGTCAAAGGAAACCGATTATTTATCCAATCATTATTACAAGATTATTTTGAATTAAAAGACAAAGACTTTTCATTAAAAGAACAAATTTTAAAAACTTTTATTTCTATTTGTAAAACACATCACTCTACAAGTCCAAAACAATTTGAAACTCCTAAAAATTATGTTTTTTATTCAGAATGTGAAAAATATATTGAGAGATGGTGTGAAATTCTTTCTACTAAACCAAAAAGTGTAATAGAAAAGTATATTTATTTATTAATTGTTCAATTTATTAATGAACTTGTAAAAAGTAAACAATTATCTCTTGTTAGTAAAATTATTTCATATGAATCATTAACAATAGTTTTTTCATTAATTCAAGATGAATTTAAAACATCAACTATTTACATAAGAAATTGTTTTAGTATTTATAATGAATTGTCAAGTTATAAATTATATGAAGAATTAAACCGAATTATTAGTTCAACATTTACTTTAAATTTTATACAAAATGTTCTTCTAAAACAGTCAACAAAAGACCTTTATGTGTTTGTTTCTGAATTACTTTATGACTCTATTAAAAACCAATCAAATGGTATTATATTTTCACAAAATGTTAATGACTTTCTTCAATTAGTTCTTGATTCATTAGTTAAACAACATGTTGAAATTAATTCATATTTAGAATTTGATGAATTTTCTAAATCTCTTAATTCTATAACTAAAACTAATGGTGCATTAGTAAGTGTTAATTTTAATTGTTCTCCATCTGTTTCTGATACTTCCCTTATTCCTCCATCACGTTTGTAATTATTTATTAGCTGTCTATTAACTGTATTAATTTTACTTTTTTTAAGTCTTATGTGTTTTACTTTTATATAATTCTTCTTTCTAAAGAAGAAATAAAACTATAAAACTAATATAAAACTTTTTACAAATGAAAAGTTAATTATTAGTTATGCAAAAATTAGTTAGTAAATCCTCCTATAATATTTCTTTCATATGACGATCACTCAATGACTAATTTATACAGATTAAAGTATAGTGTAGTTGTATTTTATGTTATTTTATATTATTTTAATTGAAATAGTTGCATTAAAGCAAATGTAATTAATAATTATTATAATATTAATATGATTTTAGTATCATAATATTTTATTTTCTCTGTTCAGAAAGAAAAAAAGAAATAAAAAGAAGAAAAAAGAACTTAATAATCATACAAGATGTTGTGGCTTCTTTTACTGTTCCAGTTAAGTCTTGGTGATTTAACATACTGTGAAGTACCTGAATTCACATTCAAACCAGTTGATGGATATAAACCAATATTACTTCAAATGGTATTTAGACATGGAGATCGTTCTCCATGGTTAACATACAAAGGTGATCAAGCCACATATAATTGTGATATTTCACAACAACTTAGATTTTTGTCTGCACAAGGAATGGAATCGTATGAATTTCATCATATTAAAACTGAAGTAGATAAAGAAAAAATGGTTTTTGCTAAAGATAATATGTATGGTGGAAGTTGTCAAATGGGACAATTAACTCGTAAAGGTCTTAATCAACTCGCCACATTAGGAGATAAAGTTAGAGCTAATTATGTTGGAGATAATAACTTTTTACCAACATATATGAATATTAGCGATATTTATGTTCGTTCTACTAAAGTTTGGAGAGTTATCCAAAGTGCTGAATCGTTCCTTCAACATTTATACCCATCATATAGTCGTGATCCAGATGCAAGAATTAGAATTAATACAGTTCCATCAGAAATTGAATACGCTGTATATAATGACCATGGGATGTGTCCTAGAGAAGCAGAATTAGAAAAAGAATTATTTGATAAATGGTTTGTCGAAGAATTAAATTTAAGACATAAAGAGCCATATGCATCTATTCTTGCTAAAGCAGAAAGATTTTTTGGTGTAGTTAATTATAACTGGTATGATTCATACTTTGATATTTTACAAGAAGTTCAATGTAATAAATTAGAATGGCCTTGTATTGACACAGAATCAGGAGAAAAAGAATGTTTTACAGAAGAAGAATTTAATAAATTAGTTGAATTAGTTTATCATGATGGAGTTTACCGATTCTTTGATAATGACACTATTCCATTAGCACGTCTTGATGCTGGATGGTTCTTAAGAGATATTCTTAGTTTCCAACAAATGAAATATGAAGGTAAAACTAACGTTAAATACACGCATTTCCATGCCCATGATACAACCATTTATCCATTAGTATCTTTATTAGAAGGAGATTATTCATCATGGCCACCATATGCATCATATATTATATTTGAAATGTATGAAAAAGAATCAGAATATTATATTAGAGTAGGTTATAATAATAAACTCTTGGACCTTAATTTCTGTTCAAAAGATGAAAATGGAATGTGCAAATGGAAATCGTTCTTTGATCATATGAGTAAAAAGGTTCCAAAAAGTTCAGACTGTAATGCCAAAAATCAGTAATTACAATTTTATTTCTTAATAAAAATTAATCAATTCTCCATTTTATTTTAAAAAAATATTAAATAAATAATTCCTACTACTATTACTAGTAATAGTATCATACCACAAAAACTATCAGGAGTATCAGTTCTTTTAAAGACAAACACTTTGTCAATAGGATCAATAGGATTATTATAATAAATTATTTTATAGATATTTGTACTTGAATTCCATTTTCCATTCTTTGTTTTTGAAACAAAAATGAATGTATCCTTAGAGGAAATATATTTGTTTAATTGGGATTCGTTGTGATAAGTAATCTCTTCATAAATTTCATTTGAAATATTATAGTGGTGTCTTGTATTCTTCTTTAATTGAGTGAAATATTTTGTCAGTGTTTTTTGATGTTTTGAGTTAAATTTGTCCTTAGTTTCTAAACAGAATAAACAGATTCTTTCTGCTATTGTTTGATTCTCTAAGAAATCAATTAATTTTCTTTCATCAATACTTTTATAGACTTCTGAATTTTCTGTCACTAAAAAATTAACAGAACCATTAGATTTGAATTCTAAATCATAAATAAACATATCATCAATAACAGAATAATGTTTTGCTTTCATTTTACCATAATATATATTTTTATTTTCCCTCAATTCCCAATTTAAAAATAAACGTTTCATAACAAATTTTGTTCCAAATTTATAAAACACAACTAAATCTGTTTGATGAATATGCTTTTCTAAACATTCTTTAAAAAGATTTTTCTTAAACCCACTTATGTTAGTATCAAATAATGTTTTAATTACTACACAATTATCTTCTAAGTTAAATGAAGAGAATGTAAATCTTTGAAATTTTGGGTTTGTCAATAATTTTTCAGGGTCTCTAAAATACCCATTTCTATCTGGATTACAAAGTTCTGTGTCTATATTTTCTAGTTTTGTTTCAAAGTTTTGAGTTATTTGTTGAATTTTGTTTTGAGTTTGGGATATTTGAATAACTTGTTTATTTAATTTAGTTATTGAATCTAAAATTTGTTGTTGTTTTAAGTCTAATTTTTTTAAATCCTTTTTATATTTTTCTAATTCTAATAACACTGATTTATTGTCTTGTTTTGTTTTATTTTCAAATTGTTTAATTCTTTCTAATGATTTTTGTTTAAATTCTTTCAATTCCTTTATTTCATTGAATATTTGTTTATTTTCTGGATTATTTTTAACTGTTCTTATATCATTATCAAAGTCTTTAATTTCTTTCTTAAATTCATTAAACTGAGTTTCTAAATTGCTAATAGACTTCCTTTGTGTTTCATTATAAGTTATTAAAGAATTAACTTTTTGTTCCAAATGTATCTTTTTAGTTTCCTTTGACTTTTCATATTCTTCTATCTTGGTGAGCTTAATTTTTTTAAGGTCATCTGGAGAGCAAGGTAAATTGAGACTCATATAATAAAATCTATAAAATTGAGTTGTTAAAATATACTGCTTCTGAGAATGATGCAAAAAGTGTTTAATTTTTATAAATAACTTATTTTTTGTTATTTTAAAATAAAAACAAAAAATAATTAAAAAGTATTTTTGTTATTAATTAATCATTTAAAAATAAAAACCATATTAATAAAAGATAAAAAGAGAAGTACTAATATCAATAGTAGTACCAATATTAGTGTTGCTTTTTATCTTTTCCTTTTGAAGAATTCATTAATGAACGTACAACTTCAATGAAATCATCTTCATTTGGGAAAGGGTCAAAAGTAAGAAATTCACAATCATTTCCAGTATCTTTCCAAGCGATATATACTTTACCTTCAAAATCTTTTTTAATTTCTATTAAAGAGCTTATTTCTATATCAGTAATTCTCATCATATCAATAATCATTATACTTTTTAATGTTATCATCATTTGACAATCTTTTTTTAATATCGACTTAGCAAAACTTAATGGTTTTCCAATATCAGCTCCATTCTTTTTTACATTATAACTAAAATGTGTTGATGTTCTTCCTTTTCTAATAAAGAAAATAACATACATTTCATACATAACTTTTTCCATTAAAGCACGTGAACTAAATTGATATAACCTACTTTCTAATTTTCCTTTATCTCTAAATCTAATGTCCATCATTAATGAAATTGTTGTAATTTCTATTTTCTCTATTTGTTCAAGATTAATTGTATTTTTCATAATTCCTGTTATTGGATCAATGTTACATAAAGACGCTAATGTTAATCGTAATATCCTTTCTTGACTTTTTCCTTTATTATTAATTTTTGTTACTTTAAATTCTCTTCTGTCAAGTGCAATACTTTCTTCAGGTAACATAACATTATCTATTCCAAGTAATTCTTCTAATCCAACACAACTATCTACAATAATTAATTTTTTTAATGCTTTTGTTTCAAATAATGCTTTAACACTTGTTATAAACTTCTTTGCTTTTTTTCCCATATGAAAGAGAATAACTTGTTTAACCATTTTACGTTGTTTATAATCAAAAACATTATTTCTTTGTTCAAAACAATACCAGAACTTTTCTTTAAGATTGTAATTTACTCCAGTAAGATCAAATAAAATAGAATATTTCCCATTTATTTCTTTTAGAAATAATTGTGCAATATCTCCCCATTTATTAGTAAAATAACGATTAATTGTATCGTCTTTTTCTAATATTTGAAATAATGAATTAACAATAATATAAATAACTTGTGCTCCATCTTGTGCTCGTTCAATATAAACAGCTTTTCCAATCTTAAGATATTCAACTATTTTTTCACACATCCCTCCTAATTCATCTTCACTTACATCAACATTTAATCTATTCCCTAATTTCTTTTCTACAATAAGAGGAGATGGACCAAGTAAATCTGCGAATTCATTTAATAACCAAAATAATTCTAAGGGAGTTAATTTTTTTCGTTCTTCTTTTTCTTTTGGTCTTCCTTTATTATCTAATGCATTCATTCTTGGTGAAATTGTTCTTTTTGATGCACTTGTTCGTGTCCATAATTTATTTGGTGTTGGTGATTGTTTTATTGGACTAGTTGTTGGTGGATTACTAGGAGACGCAGATAAATTGATTGGTAAAACTACATCAGGTGAATTTGATTGTAATGACCCACTGGATTTATTTCGTTCTGGAATACAACCGAAATTAGACACCCCTGGAGACTCACTATGGCTAAGTCTAATTTCTTTAGTACTACTTGGTCTTGAAATAACATCTTCACTTGAGTCATAATAATGACAATCAATAGGAATTACAGGTGAAATAATGTTTTGTGGAGAATTAGATGATGGTGACTTTCTTTCTTTTAAACGAGGAGATGATGGAGTTTGTGATTCTTCATGACGAGGTGAAGCAGAAAACCATCCACCACTTCTTTTACTTTGATTACTTTCTCTTGGAGATGCAACATGGGGAGATATGGTTTGTTGTTCTTCAACAGGTTTTTTATCAAATGAAACAAAAGTAGCACGAGCCCTTCCTTTAACAATAGAATTTTTAGGGATTGCTGGCATTGTTTTACTAATTTCTTTTCTTTCAATAGTTGGTTCTTTCTGAAGTTCTTTAGCCTTTAATAAAAGTGAATGTAATTCAAATAAATTATTCATGTCTGTATCTTCAAAAGATTTAAATGTATGTGATACAGGTGAATTAGAAGAAGTTTTAGTACATAACATTTCAATATCGTTATTTAATTTTGCAGACATTTCAATAGTGAATGGAATAGTTTGTTTAAAATATGGTTCTTTTGTTGATGTTACATTATTCGCAATATTTTGAATTATTTTTGTTATTAATATCAAATTTCTTCTACAATTTGGTTGAATTGGATGTGTCATTTCAATACCTGAAGCTTCAGGGGCAGCTAATGAAGGACAAATAACACGAAGGAATAAAAATCCACCAACCATTGTAAATGGAAGTAATTTACTTTGTGGGAATTTATTTTGAGAGTGTCTATATAATTGTTTGCAAATTTCTATAATTTGTACTGGTAAGTTATGAAGGTTTGACTCAATTGAACGAATAAATTTAGTAGTATATGCTTGTAAAAGTTCTGTATTTTTTGCAATAAGTTGAGGTGTTAATGATGGATCTTTTTGTGTATCTATTTCAAGTAAATGAGGACATACATTTATTTCATTAATTACATTTTTTAAAGTTGTACGAAGAAAGGGTCTACAACTACTTTTAGCAAAGTGTGTCATCATTCTACTACAAAGATTGTTTGACCTAAACAATGTCCCTTCTGAATTGGATTTATCAAATTCTTCCTTTTTATGTTAATGAATATTATAATAAATTAAATTGTAACAAACTTTTATCATTACTTCTATACATGGAATAAAACGTCCATGAAGAATAAGTAGATCTACAATTATTTTAGTAAAACCATCTTGTAATTCTGGTGGTAAGTTAGTCCCAATGTAAATCGTAAATTCAAGGTCATTCATTAATCGATAAACTAAGGAAGCATAATGATCATAAATATCTTTGAAGTGATTATTTTCAAAGGTAATTGTTAAGTCTTGTGACATTGATTTGGTATTGAATAACTATTTAATAGATAAGAAAAAACTATTTTCATTTAACTTTATGTGTTTTTTTCTTTTTTTTTACTCAAAAAAAATGTTCAACGAATTATTAATTTCTACTATTTTTTTTCCGTATAGATTAACACTCTTTTATTCAATAAGCACAAAATTCCAGTATTTATCGAAAATTAAAACGTTATATTCTTTTAATTCTATCTTAATTTTTCTTTACAGAAAAAATTCAATTTTAAAACTCAATTCTCACGTACACAGATTTGTTTTCCTAAAAATACTTCTTTTTTTATCTTTTTCTATTTTCTCTCTTATTTTATGTTTTTTTTCTTTTTCTTTTTTTTTTGTTTTGAATAAAGTAAAACTAAGAAAAAGAGATGGAAGTGAGAGAAGTAATTGAGAAAGAATTTCTTGACAATTATAAAGAAATGAAAAGAATGGTAGATCCATTAGTTTTCGGTAATTTAAAAAGTGAGACAGAAATGCTTGTAAAAGATGCAAGAATCATATTACATAAAGAACGTGTAATTGAAGAAGGAAGAGAGGTGATTGAAGAAACAAAAAGAAATGAAGAGGCAGAAGAAATATTGAAGAAAGAGATAGTGAGAGACAAAAGGAGAGAAATAATAGAGAAAGATGAAGAATTACAAAGAATGGAAAAAGAGATTGAAGAATTGAAAGCAGAAGGTCAAAGAGCAAAAAAGTTAAGAGACATGAAGAAGGAAGAATTAGAATGTGAAAAGTATGGGTATAAGACAGAAAGTAAGATATTAGAAGAATTAGAGTTTGTTAGAAATAAATAAAGAAAGAACAAAGAATAAAAAAATAGGATGAAGAATGAATTAATGGGGAAAATGATTAAGATGAAAGGAGATTTAGATGAAGGGATTTTGATTTGCAATAAACGAATTATCACATTCAACATGAAAGGGATGAAACGAGAGGAAAGGAAAATATATTTAAGTGAATTAATTATAAACGAATGGACAAATGAGAAATAAAAAGGGTATAATTGAATGAGTTGAATAAAAGAAATGATTTTTAAGAAGACACATAATTCATAGATAACTTACAAGAATAACATTAATGAAATATAAGCATTAAACATAAATAAAAGTTACGGAGAAAACAAGTTAAAAAGAAAGAGATGAAGAAAAGTCCGTACAGAATTATTACGCATTGGTAAACATAAAAAAAGTGTATAACTTCCAGGAGTAGTTATAAAGAACAAATAAATCAATAATCAATCAATAAAATAAAAAAATATAAATTAAACTCATCAATTAGAATAGAAGAAAAGTGTAGTTAATAAAAAAAAACATAAGAATAAAAGAAAATAACCAAGACACAAAGAATAATAAAATTAATCTAAAACAACACAACCATATTACGTTAGTGAAATATGAATAACTGAAGTAAAACAAAAAGAAAAAGAAATATCAATTTTGATTTATGTTCTAATTAGATTTTCATTATGTTTACAATTTAATAGGATTAATTTTTCAACATGTGTCATCCCCATTAAACATTGAAATAAATTCTGTTAGGATATAACTGAAAAATAAATTATTATATATTTCAAATATAGGATTAAATATTTATTGAGAACTTGTTACTTTATTTATTCTTCATATTTTAGAATATAAATTTTTTCTTTTTATAATAATTTATTGTATTGTTTATATTTATTATATATAAACATGTTTTATTATATAAAATATGATTTAATTCATCTACTTATTTTTAAAATGATATAATTTTCACATTGAATAACTATTAATTTATTGATACTATCTTTTTCTAATTGACTATACAGATGTTGATACTCTATTTTATAAATATCAATAATAATGATATAATATTATAATATGTTTTTGATATAATAAGGATGTTA